GAGAGACTCCTTTGGCTTCAGCGTAATTTTTAACCTGAAGCTGTTTTCATGTAGTTGCTAATTGGTATTGAAAATGTTTTACTAAATGACCTAAGAGGGAAAGACACATTCAAAGCTCCTTTAGTGGATGCTCTGCTCCCAGGTGACTAGCTCCTGTTGTGCACTGCCTGTTGACACCTCTCCGAGTGTTGGCTATTGAAAAGTGCAGAAACGGATTGAAATTACCCAAGGCAATATTATTCCTTATTCCTTATTCCTGCTGTAAGGATGGTGCACACAGCGCTGTGTCTCATGGAAAGCTGGGTCTCCCGAGAGGTGGCACCTCCAGGCACAACCACAGGAGGAGCAGAAGGTCCCAAGCGGGGTCACATCTCCCATGCAAGAGTGGAGAGGAGCCCTTCTCCAAAGGGCAGCTTGTTACAGCCCAGTGACTTGTGTGCTCCTTGTTTATAGAAGAGGGTAATAAAATGCAGTGGTGCCCAGCAAGGTGATCCGCAATGAAGGATTTATTGTATATCAGGGAGCAGGGGGGAAGAGGAGAAAGAAAGAAAGAGCGAGAGAAAGAGAAGATTCCTGGCATTCCAGAAGGCCGGCCAGAGGCACCTGGCAGTGATTAGTGCAGAGGTTCACCAGCTTCTGATAGAGGCTGTCTGAAAAAAAGAAAAAGAAAAAGTGAACGGTATAACTGTTTCCTGAGCATGTGCTGACAGAAATTCCCGTAGGGCAAGACCCAGAACAGAAACACGTGGCAAGAGATTGGGCGCTATCCAGAGACCAGATTAGCAGAGCTTTACACATCATTTTTAATATTATGGGAAGAGATGAAAATCAGTGTTAACTTTTTTTTTTTCCAAAAAAAAAAAAAAATCTCCTGGTGCTGGAACTGAATTGGGCTCCCTCGCAATATAAGTAAGCATAATGCTTGGGGGAGAAATTTTATGAATGAACTGGTTGGCATGCTGGATTTTAGGTTAGAACTTGGTTTTATGGAAACATCTTASTTATTGTAACTAGGTGCAATACTATATTAATCACTTAAGACACCCCATGTTTTATCTTTGCTCTGTGCTTCTCACCCTGGTGCCCTATTTTATACACTTGTCTTCATATTAAGACGGGCTGGATGTGCTTCTTCCAGTGAAGCTTGCGTGATGCAGCAATGTGCTGCACATGAGAACTATATTACAGTACAGCTTTGGAGCCCGAAATACACAAAAATGTATTTGAGATAAGGGACAGATGTTTTTCACTCTGGACTTGGTCCTGTTTCCACTGAGCTCAATAGGATATGAATTGAGGTTCTTTGTCTAGCTGAGGAATCTGCCAATCAAGCCATCACATCATAAAAAAAAAAAAAAAAAAAAAAAAGTCAAAGAAAAAGAGTTTTCATATTGGAAACATCCCTATCTTAGATATTTCTGTCTTGTGGTTACACTGCATTCTCAGTTATTATTCAAGAATCTTAGTTTGAATTTCTTTTTATTAGTTTTAAAGTTTTCTTTCCCTTCAAGAAGTTACTAATTAAAGGTCATGAGTATTTTTTTTGGCAGTTAAGAGATGATGAAGTAGATCATGTAAAAGCTCGTTTTAAAACAGCCAAAAGGTGCCTTTGTCCTCTGTTGTTCTGTGTAATTTGTCCGGGAATTGCTGTTGAACAAAGTCTAAAGCAAAGTAGAAGACTATTTTTTATTCAAATAGTGTGTGGATGAATATAGAAATCATACCATTTGACTGATCTTGGAAAAGTCAGTGTTGCTGTCTGTTTATTTCTGGTTCCTTATGTTGCAGTGATATTAGAACAAGGCAGTTGGTGTGTAGTGGGTAAACACACGGATCTGTATATCACTGCCCACGTGGGAGACAGGCACTGGGGACAGGAATAATAATAATTCTGAAACAAAACAACARCACTTGCAGCCTAGTGGGTACTCACTGTCTTATATCAGGCAATGTTAACTCATAGGATGCCTAAGTGGTTCCTTCAAATAAGCTGTTCTTACAATTTAATATGCATTTTCATGAAGTATGTTACATGCAAGCTTGGTTATGAGAAATTTTTGTGAGAGTTTTATGGGGAATTCTTTCTGAGATTCTTAAAGGTGTATAACTTTCTCTCAAAATGAGAGAGAACACATTAACGTTTTCAATGTTTTGGCTTTTCATTTTCTTTAAAAAAGCCCTACTGCTAATATCTAAATTTCCCCAAGTTCCCATTGATATGAGTGAGCGATACTCTGCAGCCGGAGCGAGGAAGAGTCTCACCACCTTTGCCCAGCACTCAGTGTGGGGTCCAGTTCAAACACCTGGTTTAGGGGCTGGCTTGTGGTTCTCCTGGATTGCTATAGTGTCATTGGCAGGCCCGTGACTCAGGGTAGGTTCTTCCCATAGTTTTTGGTCCATGGTGTGGATGAAGGTGCTACATAAACAAGATTTTTTCTCATTAGTTCCTACACTTCTTAATTATCTGCTGCTGCCTCCTCCCGGGAGGAATGCTTCAGCTTTGCAATTCCACCTGAAATCGTAGGTCCCTCAAGACTATGTTATGTCTTCAGCACCATCCTACACATGGTGCTTCAAAGGGCAGCTGAAAAGCCCGCAGTACCTGGACACTTGTGTGATGTGGTGTGGTGAGTGAAGGGTGAGGAGAATTCCTCTTGGAGTTCTGGAGGCGATCGGTTTACATCCTAAAGCACAAGATTTGATTACCCCTTGCTTAGCATGGAAATGTTGCTTTTGGCCATTAAATTATTCGGTCCCTTTCTAAAATTCTGGCTGGAGCATCTGATTCCGTGACGTCCCGTGGCTGTGAACTCCGCAGGCCCAGACCTGCTGTGCCAGGAGCAGGGACCTCTGGTTGGGACGAGACCTGCCTCTCGCCGCACTGCCTGCCCTGCTGCTCCTGGGACRGGGCAGAGGGGAAGGCGGCTCCTCCACTGCAGCCCTCTGAAGCAAAATGCTTCCTCCCTTCTCTCCCTTCAGTGGCAAGCCTCTCGGCTTGGCAGTTTTGCCTCCCAAGAAAACCCTGTCTTCCTACTCCAGGAAATCTTCACAAGGTTTTAGTCTCTGCTATGATTTAACACGTCAAAACTGAATATAGCTTTTGCAGACTCTTATTCTTCATTCTGCKGGCATCCAACTGTATAATTTCCTATTATTATCATTACTGTTCAACAAAACTCTACATTATTCTTAGAACACTGCTTTTCCCAAAAGATGCTGTAATTCTGGAGCTGGCAACCTGTATAAATCATGGAGACCTATTTGCTGTATACCTCTCATTCCTCCAAATTCAGTTTCACTTGGTGTCCTGTAGTCCAGATTCCCAGTGTACTCAGCTCCATTCTGTTTCCTAAGAGCATCCAAGTAACTTATCAAGGAGACTTAAATATTCTCAGCCAATGGTGACCACTTTGCCAAACTTAAATCCACCTATAAATGTTCCCATTAGCACATATGAAGAAAAAGGTTTATTGTGCTGAAAAGAAATATTCAACATAACCAGGARGCTTCAGATTTAATGAATTAGGGAAGGTTATGAACTTTTTAATGTGTATCACTATATACAGGTACAAATATATTATGAGGCCCCAAAAGGCCTTCCAAATTTTTGAATTGTATGAGGTAAAAATAAAGTAAAATATACAGTACGTATTAATAATAAATATCCAAAACAAAGCAAACTGTGGTTGTAGAAAAGTATTAACAGGAAATGTCCAGGCTATTAGTTAGTGAAACACATACAGCTGAGCTACTGCCTGGGCATTTTTAATGTATCCAGCTGCCCTCGTCCTCCCCCACCCCTGAATTCCCATTTGCTGTAGTTTGAGGTTTCTCCTTCCATACAGAAGAAATCCCTTTTTAACCTCTGTTCTGTCGCTAATACATAATCTGCTTAATCTGCATCAGACTCCTGTAACAGGCTGGGTATCACAGCAACCTGATCAGCAGGCAAATACTTGGGATAGAATTAAAAACAGTGCGCTGGGGACTGGACAGTCAGGATTAAAACCCTGGAGCATGCCAGGATACATGAACATGCACACATGCAAAGCAGTATTGTAGGCACCAGCTTGAGCTGTAGGCACCACCGTGGGTATCTCTAAGGAGGCAAATCCCCACATTGGCCTCTTCTTCTAATGCAGCCTCATTTTCCAGTGACCACAGCTCAGTCCTGGCTGGAAAGCTCTGCTGCTTGGGAGCAGCCGAGCCAAATACAGGAGATGTAATGGCCACCAGTGATGGGGAGGTTCCTGTAGAGGRGCTGTTCATCCTCAAGGACCCTGAGGACACTTTCTCCCCACACGGCAGCTGCCGACCTGGACCCTTTCCTCACAGCCTGGATCGGGGCTGTCCCCACTCGGCCCTGGCTTCTTCATCTCCACTTGAAACCCAAAGCAAACAAGATCCTCTGCTTGGCTCTTCAAGTTGTGCTTTAGGCCTTTTTATTTATTTTACATATTGCAGGCTGTTGTTTATAGAGGAGCAGTTATTGTGCCTGAAAAAGGTTTGTTTTCGCTTTCCTAAATATTTGGCTTGAGCGCATCCTTGGCGTGGCCCATTTAACATTAGTGGTTTACTTCTTCCTTTTCGTTTTGGGTTATTGAGACTCTCTGTGGTCTGTGTTATAAGCCTAATTTCCCTGCTTTGGGAGGATGGGGTTATTTCATCATAGGATGAGCTTTGGCCGGTTGATTTATATCAGCCCCTCTCAGCAGAGTGTCGCAGTGACCTGCGTCCCTGCGGCCGCTTTTGGCAGTGCTCCCGGCCTGCCGTGTTGCCTTTGATGACACTGTTGTCACCRCTGTTCCACAGTTCATCCCAACCTGCCTCTGGGGCCAGCTGCGGGGCTGACGCCGAGAACAGCAGCTGGGAGCAGGACTAACCTACACGTGCAAAATAAACGTTCCCCCAGTTGGGGAGCGTGGAAATAGGAGCCTTTCCACTGTTTCATTCTCCACTTTTGTGACATGATAAAGCTTCCCTATTTTTCCTCTCCCTAGGCTTGCCTCCAACGTCATCTCCCCGCTYGTCAGCCCGCTGAAGGCGCTCGTGCCCCCGTCGCTGCTGCAGAAACACGGCTCTCCGGCGCCGCACAGCCAGTCGCCCAACGGGCAGCAGTTTCCTGCCGCACCRAATAAACCCTACGCTCAGTTCCAAAACCAGTCTGTACCACAGGGATCACAAGGTGACTTGTTTCTTTGTCTTTTTTCTCTTTTTCTGTTTTTTTTTTCTCTTTTACTTTCTCTTTTTCTTTCTTTTCTCTTTTCCTTTTTCTTTTTTCTCTTTTCCTTTTTCTTTTTTCTTTTTTTCTCTTTTCCTTTTTCCTTTTTCCTTTTCCCTTTTTCCCTTTTCCCTTTTCCTTTTCCTTTTTCCTTTTCCTTTTTCCTTTTTTCTTTTTCCTTTTTTCTCTTTCTCTTTCTTTCTCTTTCTCTTTCTCTTTCTCTTTCTCTTTCTCTTTCTCTTTCTCTTTCTCTTTCTCTTTCTCTTTCTCTTTTTTCTTTTTTCCCTTTTTTTCTCTTTCTCTCTTTTTCCTCTTTTTTCTTTTTCTTTTTTCTCTTTTTCTTTTTCCTCTTTATCCTCTTTTTCCTCTTTTTCCTCTTTTTCTTTTTTTTCTCTTTTTCTTTCTTTTCTTTCCCAACTCCTGGCTGCCATTGTTGCACTTTGTGCCAATGTTGCCTTATTAAGAGCTTGTCAGCATTTCAATCAGAACTCCTAGTTTCAGTATGTTTTGACTTATACAGGAGATTTATAATTTTGATTACAATTTTCAGACCACTTTGTACTGTCATATTGTATTAGAATGTGGGAAGCTATCACAGCAACAGATTTATTGCTTTTTTAGGACATGACTTCAAAGGTCCTTATGAGAATAAATTATGCCTCCTAAGAGCTCTGTGATTTAACGATGCAGTGAAATATTTCCCCCAGCCTCACTTGTTGAGCGTCAGGGAAGGATTCCTCTCATCACTTGGGAGCTGCCAACTAGCTGTGCTCCTMGTCTGACCACTCATCGGCTTATGGCTGGTTTTGAGAGGGTGACACAGCCAAAGCAAGTGTCATCTAAAATACCTGGGTGCAGCACATCCCGACACCCTCCTGCTCCATCCACTGCTAGGGAGGAGCTTGGCCGTGAGCTTAGACAAAAACGAGCAATTTTGCTATTTGCGATTTGGATTGTGGCATGCGTATTGCACCATGTAATAATCTGTACTCTGCTGAAGTGCAGAGTGATGTAGTGTGATCTGAGGACAGGAAAGGTAGCAGCTATTTCACTGCTTAATTTGAGACATTTTTCTACATCTTGAATTGCCTGGCCTTGTTAGTAGAGAGCTCCCATTCCTATCCTGGAGTTCGACTGCAGCAACTAATTAACGTTGCTACAATTTTTGAGGTATAAATTAGCAAATGATGCAACTATTATCACAGATTCCTCCAGTAATGAGACCATCCATATTTACGAAATGTGTTATATAATCCAGATGGTGTGTTGTTTAAGTGTGGTAAATACTCGCAATAAAGAAGTGTGCAGGACATCTGTTTGGTGCTAGCACAACCAAGAATGTAAGTTTGTACAGGCAAATAATCAGATTTTTGAAAATCATATCACAGCTGTAGTATTATTTGTATAAAGTCGTTTTTGCCTGGGCAAAATATCACATGTGACCAATTTGGCAGTGGGCAAATGGGASGTTTGCTTTCCCTGAAAATGCTCTAAGGCTTGGTTTGAAATTCAGGATTTCAGCACAAACCCAGTGGCAGTGCACGGCTGTAATGGGGTTCAGTGTCCCAACAGGGCCCTTTGGTCTCAAGGGGGTATTTTACCTCCAGTTTGGGTCAAATAACATAAATACTCATAAGGTTGTTTGCCTCATTTTGCCCTTTGGTTGGACTGGGTTTGTCTGTAAAGCTAAGGCATATTATATTAAATGATTTGTGTCAAAGGAAAAACTAACTCAACCTGATGCTCAACAGATTATTCAATTTTAAAAGATTAACTCTGTGAGGGAAAAGTGGCAGATTTATGATAGTATATAATGATATATGATTATGCTACCATAATGAGCTAAATAACTACAAACCACAAGAGGAAAGTTTAGCAGCTCATTATTATGGCAGAAACAAATGCATAGAACAAGTTTTGAACCACTTAAATAAATTGACTTTATTCCTTAAGAAAACCACATTTCCTTTTGCATGAATTGTTGCTTTCTAAGTGTTATGTCGTGCGGTTTTGAAAAAGCAATAATTTTCCACGTTGGCCAAATGTTGAAGTATTATTATAAATTCATTATGGAAATGGTCATTCCAAAATCAATTTTGATTAGCAGCCCTTGAAATGAACTGATCTGCAACTTGTACCTAGCTATACTTGCTCTAAGCCTTTTTTTGCACCCCAATTCATTAATAGCAAACATTTCTAATAGAGTCTGAAGTAATTTGGGGGGTCAAACTTCTTGCAAAAAGAGGAATACAATGTAAATCTAGGTYTGAACGAGGCATCTTTATAGAAGCCTATAAATATGATGACTTTGTGTTTTTTTTTTTAAATAGCAAGCATCAGCAAACTGGTAGCAGAAATTTTGATAATGAAAGAATAATAAACTGACATTATTTATATGTTTAAAGCTAGTCATAGTAAGATCACATGGAAATTATTATATGCTGAAAGAATTTGGCAGGCGGAGGAATCCTGCAGTTATTTATACCTGACGTGGTTTCATGTCAGAAACTTTATGGAATTTGAAGTGCTTGGATTTATTTGCACATACATGTAAATGACATGACATAACAACCCAGCATTTAATAGACATATTCCAATTATTTGCTCATTACGTCATTCATTTTAAAACTGCTGGAAGTTTTCTAGGTTGTGCCTTAGAGAAGGAGAGGCAGCCAGGGCACTGTGTGAAGCGGCTAACTGCAGCTTTTCTGCCACAAATTATTTCAAAGCAAAATTGAAGCTAAATGTTATGCTTGGAACCCGGTTCATTCCTTTATTAACTGTTATATTTCTACATCTACTGCACATAAAACATTTAATAGTGATCATTTAAACTTGACAGGACATTCAGTCAATTCTTCATTTGAAAATTAACTTCAGAAAAATTGATTTAAATCAAACAAGCTGAAGGAAAACCTGAAATCCATTTGGAAAAAAAAATATCAGTGAAGCACTGGCTGCCAAACTGGTACTACTGTGCTCATGCTCTCCTAGAAGGAGCAGCAGTGTTTGTACTAGACAAACCTTCTTGCTTACTTCATATTTTAACTACTTAAGAGGGTCTTTTTGAAGAACTTGTAGAAAATGTTCCATGTTTAGCTTTCTTGGTGGTTAATTGAACCATTCGTTATGGGATTTTAATTGTATCTTGATGTCTGATTCTTTCTGTGCTGTGCATGGAGGAGAGCAGTCCGTGTAGGACAGCGTTTTGGAAAAGCTGAACTAAACAGAAAGGACCAAAAGCACCTTCCTTTCCTACAGCACCTATACGCTGCAGGAAAGCAATGTATTGTATATACAAATCAAATGTTATATTGCCTGCAAGCTGGAGGGTCCATCTCCTATGATTGTGTGAGTGAAACTTTACCTGGCAGGAGCAAGCATCACTGCAGAGGTCCTCGTGGCAGCTTCACCTCCTGGGCCTCTGCGTCCTCTCTCTTGGTCCTAACAGGGTCGGTCACACTGACTCAGTCTTTCTAGAAATCTAATGAAAAAGGAAGGAAATTTTCAATATGTGACTCAGGTCRAAGGGATTAAGTCACATTTTTAGTATGATGGCTTGCTTTACCTGTTGTATTGCTGTAACTTTCCCCTTCTTTTCTTTAGTTCACTACCAGCCTTTCTCACATCCCCAAGTGCATGGGGACAGGAACAGTGTGTTTTCTTGTGCTTTCTTTGGGAAGAGTTTTGCAGAAATTTGGGCCTGGTGAATGCAATAGTGCAAAAYTGCTAGTATTTTCTTACACAGTCCCTCTTCAATGGACAGTTCCCATATCACTTTCTGTGCATTGCCTTTTCTGATGGTCGCTCAGTGGTGTTCAGGAGCAGACACTGCAGCCTGAGCAAGGAGTTGGTCACTTACAACAGCTCCTTTCCAGACTTGTGATTTTGAGGCAGTTCATTCCTGCCTCACCTGCTTTTCCTGAACAGCTATAGAGCATAATTTAAAGCCCTTAAAAGAAGCCTTACCCCTAGGTCTAAGAAGCCCCCGTATCCAGCTAGTTTCAGTCCAGGTCTGTCGTGCTTGGCTATTCTCTGCTCTTCTGAGCCGCTCTGCCAGCCCCGTGGATCATATTTAATTGATTTCCCAAAGGCAGGCTCGGGAGCATGACGAAAGGGCAGCAAGTACAGAGACAGAAAAAATACACGTCATGCCTAGAAGTGATGTGTATAACAGACCTTCTGGAAATGGTTCAGCTTTTGCTCTAGCAAGGCATATAAAGTGCTCCGTGCGACCAGTTATACCTCATGTTAAGTCCAGTATCTTAAAACAGTATATATAATATTCTTAGAAGGCTTCCAGCCAGGATCTCCTGTTTTGTAAACAGAAAAAGTCAGGATAATTATCAAAAGCCTATCAATAAAGCACTGTACCTAAAACCACATCAAAAGATGGCTTTGCTGCCTCTCGCAAAGCTCTTTGGTTTGTTGAGCCAGGCTGTCCAGGCATGAAATAGAGGAGCTGTCTATTTATTCCAAGGAAGGACACGCATCATTTAGTATTCAGCCTTCCAGCTTTCTAGGCCTTCTTCTACACAGCAGCGAATAGGGGCAGCTCTGGTACAGTGGGCGCAGTGTCTTTATCTAATATAGTCATCCATTAGTACCTCACCAGTCATGGGTATCAACAGTTTGGGGGTTTTGTGGTGGAGGGTCATCGGTTCTCAAGAAACGAAGCAACTAATCCWTGCACTTGCAGCCAAAACACATATAAAATTGTGAAACTTCGGAGCAAATCTTTCACCACTAGATGAGTTCATTGCGTTTCTGTTGCAGAACGGCCTCACTTAGCCAGATTTACAACCACTTTAAAAATATGGCTGGAATTAACAGCGAGACCCTGAGCTTTACCCGATATTATCTACTTGATCAAACTTTGGTACTGAAGAGAGAATGCAGAAAGAGACMGATTTTTTCTTATGAGGGGAGAGCTTTTACATGCAGTGAGTTGCCAAGGAGCTAACTCTGCCCTTCTCTATGGTGATAGGCACTGGTATAAGTCGTATTGCTAAATAAACAGGCTGAAGAGCTGCACAACTGGCCCAGCAAAGCAAGCCTTGCAGTGGGCRAGCGCAGCCGTGGTGGCTTCGGGCGGCTGAGGGGCCGAGTTTGACCCTTGGAGCTTTTGTGGTGGTTCCTTGGGAAGGGTCAGTCCAACTGAGTGAGGGAGCAGAAGGAAGAAAGGACCCCATCCCTTTCCTGCCAATTAGGGGAAAATCCTGATGGCATTTTCTACTAAACTGTAGGCTTGACTTGGTCTGCTTAAGTCACCCATAAGAGTAGGAGCATCATATCGGAAGGGACCTTGAGGGAAGCAAGAGGGATAGTTAATCTGAACATGCAATTAATGTGAGATGCACCTGGAATCCTAATCAGGAAGAGGTTACTGGGGCAAGAGGAAGGAGAAGAATTAAATCAGACCATGTTTGGTACTAAGTCTTGTGGAGTGCTTTGAGATCAGCCTTGTGGGAGCAAAAAATGTCATCTTCTAGGATGTTGGCACAAACTTAGAAGTTGTAAAGTTCCTTTCTTGGCATTTGATGTGTCCTTTACTGCTAAATATCTTTTGCTTTGTCCAGTTCATCCACAGCTTCTGCTGGCAATATCCACATCGCTGGTCTGTTGGTAATTACATATATATTTTCATATATATAAAGCAGGAGATGAGAAATGCAGGGAATGTGGAGCAGAAAAAGTCAAACATGCCCCTAAAGTAGCATGACTGAGACAGCCAGAGACCACAGAGATTTCTCTTGGCACCTTTTGGAAGCGAGAAGAGCGTCTGACTGAATCCAAAGTCTTCCCCTGATGTCCGTCTGGCATCGGGTCTGCACCTCTGCTCCACTTCTCCTCGCAGACGCTGGCCCSCCGTGTTCAGAGGAGGGTTTTGGTTTGCAGTAGGAGCGCACTGAGGAAGGAGAGGTTTCAGGTGCTCTTAAAGGTATTTGGAATAAACAGTGCTGTGTCCAGCAGTGAATAATGCACGCTGGCTGGGAAAAGGCTTTACTGCGCTGCAAACAAAGCAGTGTTTTGCATTAAAATACTGCCTTATTGTATTAAAATTCGCAGTAATTCATTATGGCTGCATTCCCTTAGGAACTGAGCATCCTGGACCTGATCCAGCGAAGTACTTACTGCTTAGCTTTGAAAACAAGTGCGCTGTTGACTTCATTCAGGCAACATCTTCAGTTGCTTGAAATTAAGCACATCCATGAGGTTTTTGCTTGATGGGGATCACARTGCACGGCACCTCGTGGGACAGAGCCTGATGGAGGTTTCGTATTATTGCGCCGTACAGAATAACGTGATCATTTTTCCATAGTTATAACCGAGTGACTGAAAAAAAAAAAAAMCCCAATAGTAATGAAATACTATTGCAGAAATGGAGCTAACACCGTGGCAGCCGTGCTCAAGCGAGTGTGCAATCTCTGTTTCCAGGTTACCAGGGCAGCTTTCACTCCATACAAAACTGTTTCCACTACGGCGACTGCTACCGCCCGCTGGAGCAGCCCGCGGGCGACGCGCTCCCCGGGGACTCGCACTGCTTCGCTCCCCTCAGGCACAACGGCTACCACTTGCTCAATGCACCTCTAGCTGCCACAGGTAACTTGCTCTGCCTATAAAGAATTACCCTTACAATATTTTTAGGAGAGGGGAATAAAACCTTGCATTTTTATGTCAGYTATTATTGTGAAAATACGTTTGCGTTAAAAGCTCAGTTGCTGAAATTCGTTTGCATCTATAAAAATCCCACAAAGTAAGCAAGTTTATTTTCCTTAATCCTTCTGGCTGATGGACAAATTCTCCCTCTATTCTAATGCTGCATGTCCCTTGGAATACTCACCCACGGCATTGCTGCCAAGCCAGACCTTGCTTACCTTTACTGCCTGGGCTCCGCGTTGTTCACCCCCATAGGAAAGCTCAGGCAGGCTCCTACAGAAAGATCCAAGTCGAGACAATACTGAGCAAAATTCTGGAGAAAATATTGGCGTCAGGGACTTGTACTCACATAAGAATAAAAGGATGGCTCTGTTTTACAATACTGATGTTGACAAAATGGAAAGTTGCTGCTTTGAGAAATGTGACTAAAAATATTAATTTGTTCTTTTGTGTTTGGAAGTGTGCTGCTGCACATTCATGGCAACTGTATTTTTCCATTTAGCTATATAATGTAAATTTTGCTACRAGTTATTATAGCTAGATGACTAAAACACTTAAATATATAAGTACTCATTTTTATAGAGGATTTTTTTTCTATTTTTAAAACCACAACTAAGAATTGGTAGAATTACCAAACCRAACATAATATTCTCCAAGGCCTGTCGGAGCCAGGAAGTGCTACCATTGCCACAGTCTGTACTTAGGTATCTCAGAGAGACTTTTTGTTCACATTTGAATTCAGAAGATCACCTCAGTTAAGGACGATACTGAAAATATATGTTTAAATGCTTTTTGAAAAGGGGCCTGAATCCCACCACTAAATTAAAGGCGATTTTCCTGTTTGTTTTGTATTAAAGGCAATTGCGTTGAGCGAGATGTGCATGCACTTGCCTGGTATTCCATGCTAGAGATTGCACAACCAACACAAGGGAAATGTTTAAGCTGGTGTTTCAACTTCGTCTTTGAATGCTTTTGTGTTATTCATAAGTTTGATGTTACTATGACGTAGGGTTTTTTTCATGCTAACATCAAATTYCAAGTTTGGATTGACAGACTGCAATATTTAAAGAACAGACTAAGTAAACTTTCCAAAAGAAATTGTGGGCACAAAGAATAACGCTATGGCAAGACACCAACTTCAACAACAGTTGATTTTTTTCTGTCTAGAGCTAAGTTATTATGAGATGTTTCTGCGTAACCTTTTGTTTTTAGAGTAGTTATGGAGGTATGCAAATACTTAAAAGCCAAAACATAAATATATATGAAATATATAAATCTTATCACATCTCTTTGTGTGTAAAATAGAGCCATTCAAGTTTGTGAGATTCATCAAGGCGATGCATTAATTTTTTTTCCAGGATTTTATAGTCCCATTAATATTAAATGAGATCTCATCTCACAGGAATGCCAAATGTGACTGGCAAACAGCTGTTCCATGAATCACATTAACAGTCAATAAATTTTTATTTTCTGTTCAGGGCTTTGGATAGTTTACTCTCTCTGGAATCTAATAATGGTTTCTGGGGCGAATGCTTGTCTCGGGCTTTGCCCGTGCGTGGCCAGGCATCCTGCTCTCACACAGGCTCATCAAACAGCAATTAGCATAACATAAACAGTCGCAAATGAGCAAACCCTGATGCCTTTGCCGGGAGCAGCACCCAGCGCCGGGCAGTGCGACTGTCGGAGATGTTGGCTCTGCACCGCGTGCCTGGCAGCAGATTCTGATCCCTAAGTTAACGGTGAATTACTGTGTCATAAGCGAATGCAGGAGGAGAATTAAGTACAGAATTYGATTTTTTCATACTGCAGACATGCGTGATCCCCTGCATGAGATTCCTGGATCTTGGGGCCGTGCGAGGCCACCGGGTCAGTGTGTCACTGGCCTGGGGCTGCCTCATGCTGGCCCCACACCCCCCACTTGCCTTTGGGACTAGACAGAAAGCCTGAAAAACAAAAACCATTAGGCTCAGTTTGCAGAGGGGAGACGGAGCCGGGCCRTTCCAAGGAGCCTGCATCTCAGGAGGGGCTGTAGCTGCTGGGGGAGGTTTGGGTTAAGGAGGGAAAGGACGGAGAGTTTCTCCCCTCACCCCTAACAGCTCCGTCACAGGGAGCGTTGGTGGCACCTTGGCCTCGGCACGGCCCTYTGTGGCAGTTACTGTCTCCCTGTTAGCGCTGGCCTCACTCAACCCTCTCCCTGCCCCGTCCCGTTCACAGGCTACGAGGCGGTTTCCGAAGCGCCCTGCGCCCCTGAAGACTTGGTCTCCAGCGGCCCGGAGGAGAACGGCTTCTTCCAGAACGGCGCCTTTGATCACTGCTTGAATCACATTCCCTCCATCTATACAGACACCTAAGAACAGAGCCGGCCCTGTTTCCTGTATTATTACCTATAACTGTGTATGTAATAACAAAGATGTTGTTCAAGTACTTTTATTTAGTCTGTATCCCTATATGTGCTCATTTAAATAAACACCTCACATTTACCAAACCATTTTATACATGAATAGTCTGTGTAAGGTACTATTGGAAGCTGTTCCTTTGCTGTGGCACTTTGAAATTCAGGCTTTAAGGGAAGGAGGAGCAGTTGAAGCAGCTTGTTTTGTAAGTCCTCTCAGTAAAGTGTAAATGTAAGTTATATAATAAACTTGTAAAGAAGGTTTGTTTTTTCTGAAAAGTATGTTTTCAATTTGAGAATGTTGGTCCCTTTAATCAGTTTTCATTTAATTCGTTGGTCCTTTTTTTGTTTTTGTTTTTTTTTTTTTTTCCTTGAAACTAAAAGGATTTTTTTAATCACAGACCTCATGTATATAAAGATCTCCATTTGCTCGGCTGGTTTTATATTTTCAGTTTTACAAGAAAGCATTAAAAACTGGAAACAAGTGTCCTGTCATTCCTGAACATCATCCGTCTGCCCAGCAAGCCTCAGCATTACAGCCCTCAGATGCCCAGCAATGATTTCAACCAAATGGGGACACTTTGGGCACTGCAAAATTAGAGCAGCCCACGGGCCAAGGGCTGGTGGCACAGAGGCTTGGCTCACCAGGCCACCCTCTGCTGAAAAAATATACATATATTTGAATATATGTACACATACACACAGACATATATAAAAAGCACAAATAGGTGGCAAGTCTAAGTAGCAGGGAAGTCACGGTAGCCACATAAGGCCAGTGTAAGGCCAGGGAGGCCTTACTAGTAGAGGTCTACTCTTTCCTACAGTGTTAAAAGACATGTATATGTGTATATATATATATATATATGTACATATGTATGATATGTATATGTATATAAAATATATGTATGTGTATATATACATTATATATACACACACACACACATATATATGTATATGTACATATTATATATAAACTGCCTAGCAGTAAAAGCCCCAGCATTTTCTAAATAAGGATGATGAAGTAAGAACATATCCAGAGCCCAACAAAGCTGCAATGGCTGGAACAAAAAAATCAAAGTAATTCCTCTGCTCCAATTAGCTGGAGACATTAAAGGGAAATGGTGTCTTAAAAACACGATTAATCTCATTTCCTAAAAATTAAAGAAATCCTTCMAAAAATGTAATTTTTTTAGTTAAAAATACAGACCATCCAAATCTAAACATATTTGATCAATTATACAAATATTTATGTCACAGCAACCAGGCTGTTCGAAACCACACGATGATTCACAAAGGTCTGGGAAACTTAAAGCAGAGCAGCTGGAGTGATGATTTAATTCCAGAATCTGTGTGAATCAGGTTTTTCTGTAAATTAAAAGGCTAGATTCAGGGAAATGCAAAGGCCCTACTTTGAGACACTATAGTTTGGAAAGTTATCCATAATAAAACCATTAAAATACACAATAGCACAAGTTAATGATTGCTTGTGTGCTTCATTTATTCCCTTTCATTACATTTAAGTAGGGAAGTATCTCATGTAAGCTTTTCCTACAGGCACAAAGAAGCCTTTCAATGGCCTTTATTGCTTGGCAAGTTTCTTATTGTGGAGCTGTAAAAAAACCCACCAAATAATATGTATAATAACTGGAGTAAGGCTTTGTAATAGTAGAAAATTATTACCCTGCGGAATTGAAATGGAGCTGCTGGTTCCCCTTGACTATCAGATACTTTTTCAATCTCGGCAACACAATTTGACTAATAAATTGCAACAATAATTTTTAAACAGCTGTAAATCATGTCTCCAGTGAATTACCCCCCCATTTCCACGTGCATGTACTCTGTGTATGCCGCACACTTTGGGAATGCCGGGCAAAGGTGYCTGGCGCAGCCCATGGAGCTGCCCCGGAGTGGCCGGAGCCCTTCTCCGGGCTGTGCACCGGGAGATGCTGMCCAAACCGGAGCCACTCAGCAGGACCCCAACACGTCTCATATAATGAAGCCCTTAATTGTATAGAAACCCAAAGTTCTCGTCCCGTTTATTAATTGCAGTGCTTCACGAGCTCAGTGCTACAGAGGTGCCTTGGGGAGGGAGCGTGCGAGATGGACCCATGTGGAACATGGACATATTGTCCCAAATTCTCATGTGGCACCAGGACACAGGACTTGGAGAGAGCAGAGTAACAGGCAGGGCAGGAGGCTGCTGGCGAKAGGCGCTGCTGAGGAGAATGCCCCCTTGGTGAAGGAATGTTCAAGTCGGGCTTTCTAGCTATGTACCCAGCAAAGAGTGGGGGCAGCTCCTCCTTGTCTGGAGAGAAGTCCTTTGGTGCAGCAGAATTGCACCAAAACCTCCTCCATGCCTAAATTACAAAGCAGACTGAAGGCTCTCCTTTCTTGAAGGGACTGAGAAGGCAGCAGAAAGAGAGCTGCAGACTTTGACACTGTCACAGGCTGTTGGCTGCACGGGCTCTCAGCTATTCACAGCTGCAGAACTAGTCAAGCCCTGGTAGACTTCAGCCCCAATATAGCTGAAGGCTTCATGACTCCGAGCTTTCTACATAATTTCTACTGAAATTAAAAGCCTGTYCAATCCTTTGGCAAAAAGATTCTTGTAATGGTAGTGAAGCCAGAAAAAGAAAAAAAGTTAATTCTTCTGTATTGACACAGATCTTCTGGCTTGAAGCAGCAGTGCACATTCAAACCAAGTGACTCAACCCTAGGAGAGCATTTCTGGCCTTATGTGACTTAGAACGTCTCTTTTATTAATCAAGGACACCATGAAAAGTGCAATATTGATTTTCAGACCTTTCCCAAGTCGATATAAAAGAGGAGGATTGTGTACGGTTTTCAGATCTGCCTTAATTGCTTTAAATGCATCTCCAAGATTTTATTTCCCCCTGAAAATCCTCTTAGGTGCCTACTTGCATCCTTAGGCACAGTTTGAAAAGCTGGGCTATATTGCATAGTGAATTTTGTTTCCTATCTCCTTGGGCTGGGAACCGCACGTTTGCCCAGGAATTCCCCACGGAGCCCAGATCTGCTAAAATTATAAATATAGCCCAAGCTGGGAACAGGCCCTGGAAACTGCCATGAAGTGCATGTACAGAAAACAGTGATCCCAGTCACACGAGATACCTGATATAGCTGGCAGGAAGGCAAAGCTAAACAAATGCAGGTTTACGTTTTACTATTTAAAGAATAAAATATTTGACTTGAGTTCCATTAACACCTGTCAGGATTTTGGTGCATACTCAAGTCCATTTCTAATTTTACTGCTAAATAATCCCAAACTTGGCAGCTACTAGGTCAAGCCAAATACCCCGGCTAAACATCTGAAGCAAATTGTAGCTCTCAGGAAGAGCCTTTCTGCTGTACAAATGAAGGTCATATGTATAAATGATTAGAAGCTTAAGGAAATATGTCTTCTGCTTTTTCTAAATTGATAACACACGCATATTGCATTAATATTCYCACATCAATTATTGGACTTGTTCCCTACTGTAGAAAAAAAGGAGATATAATTTTTCTAGCAAGCTCTAGGAATAATATTCTTGCACTCGCGCAAGTGGCTCTTGTTGTGCAGCGGGGGAGACGTTCATTCCACAGCCCCTGTTGCAGCGAGCGGCAATATTTGCATTGCAGCAGCAGTGGCACCAGCCGGCAGGGCCGGGGAACGGGCGCCCCATGTTTTGGGGAGCCCCATGGGGACCCGTGTCGGCCCCACGGCTGGTGGGATCAGCCCCTCCTGCTTTTGGGGCAGTGGGATTCACCATGTCACACTGGCCAGAATAAAGTTTAAAATAATTATAAAAATCAAATATGCTCATAAAAATGATTCCCAAACGTAGTTTTCCCCTTCAAAGCACACCGATCTCACTAAGTGTTTTCCACAAATGCTCCTCAGCTCCTGGAGCCATCAATGGGGTCCTCCTACATGTGGAGCCAGTCCCTAGGTGCCTCACTATCACCCTGCTGCAGGTGCCTCATTTTGGCTGGGGATGTGACGAGCACCTTTTGGTCCTCGYTGGTGCTGGGGCTGCACAGATCAAAGCATCATCCCACAATTTCGGGGGGACGTGGCCGCAAACACTCCATTTTCTTGTCCCCGTGCATGGGGAGCAGCACCCCAGGCAGAGCAGCTGGGAGGGCTCCAGGAGCCCGGCTGTGCTGCATCCCGCTGGGAGCCCGGGCCCGCAGCATCCCGCTCGGTGCAGCATCCCTCTCCACCATCCCTCTCCACACATGTTTCCCGCTGTGGCTCCCGGGCCCTGCTCATGTTTCCCTTTTCTCAGCAGAGGGAGCTCCGGCTCCGGCACATGGGGATGGGATCGTCCAGCCTGGGCTCCCGCCATCCTGATGGATGGATTGTGACCAGCTTTGGCTTCCCCTCCAAGATCCATCCCTGGAGCTTCATCTCCAGCAGGAATCTGTTAGCAAAAAGCTGCTGTTGTCCTAAAGCTTTGGGAAAACATCACAAGCAGCTGGGAGGCTTTATCAGGGTTAGGGAGAGCAGGGACTGCCTAGAAATCGTTTTTCCCACAAGAACCAGAGGGCTTTAGGGCCCAGCAATCCCTACCCCGATAGTCACCGGCATTTTTCCAACATGAAAGTTCCCAGCAAAGCTCAGATAAAGTAACGCTATAGGCAGTGCTTAAACCTCCGATCCCCAAGGTCACATCGGCCCCTCGCCTGTGTCCCCAGGGCCACCTGTGCCTGGATGAGCAGCGACATCAGGAGTGTCATCAYCGGCACCTTTGGGGATGCCGCCCCCCAGTATCCTGGGAGCGAGGGGTCCTGCTGGGGACACAGCTGGAGGCTCCTCCGTGCAGGGCAAAGACCAGGCTGCTCCCAGCCCAGCTTAGGTGGAGCTTTAACCTCCCAGCAGGGAGGGCTTAAGCCCTTGCCCTGTCCTCCTGTGCCACCTAGACCTGCTTAGTTCAGGCCAAGGCTGATTGTGAGCAGGAGTGTGGATTTGGCCCGGGCGGGAAGCATCTTCCATGCAGCAGCAAAATTTTATTTTTCCTACATACTCTATTTCTATGAAACATTGATTGCACAGAAAATGCAGAATATTTCAAATACAAAACACCAGACACTACAGTCAATATAAATATGCTCTTCTATATTATGTCAGAGACATCCTGGCTTTAATATGTCAAAATATTTTTTCTTTTCCCCTAGAAAAACTACGGTTCTGTTTCCTTTCTCCAACCTATATTAAACATACAGCAGATTCCAATAGTTACAACTTAAGTGTTTGAAAAAAGTCCAAAAGGGAGAATTCGTCATCTCTCTAAACCTCACGAAGCATATAAAAACCACATGTYGAAATCTAAAAGGCTTTTGACCATAGTAGTTG